CACACACACTGCAAGCCCCATCGGAACATGTCGGACGTGGGGAAAAAAACATGAAAACAACAACACAGCAAGCCCCATCCTGGGGCAAAAAAAACCCCACACAAACACCAAAATATATCACAGCACAGAAACATAACCCCCCAGCCCAAACCCACGCTGCAAAACCCTGTAAATGTACTTACTCAGAAGCAGAAAGCAGCACCAGGCAGTCCCAAACCTCTTCCGACACACACACGCTAACCGTTTGGGTGAAAGAGCTACAAAGAAGCAGCTTCTTCGCCAACTAACAGTTTGTACACTTGAATTCCCCACTTTTTCCCCACCTTTTTTCCTGTCATAACTTGAAGCTCTGGTCGCAAGTCGAAGCAAAATTTTGTGGCCAGAGCTGGTCGTAACTTGAAATGGTCATAAGTCGGGGTAGTTGTAAGTCGAGGCACCACTTTACTCACCAATCTTTGAATCCATCCTTGTGTAACCATAGGATTTCTAGTATTTTAAAAGCTCTCATTTTTCTTTTTCTTCTTTCTTTTCCTTCCCTTTTCTTTCCTTCCGTCCTTCCTTCCTTCCTTCCTTCCTTCCTTGCCTCTTCTCTTGCTGATATGACTTAGCATTGATGTTTTATTATACTTATTTAATAAGCAAGAACTTATTACACGTATATTAACATAACCTTTTCTATTAAATCATGCCTAACTGAAAATATTGTAAGAATGCTTTATGAATGCAGATCTTTCAGAAATAAAAACAAGCAGCATAAAGTTATGCAGCATAAAGGTGTGAAGAACAGGGAATCATGTGTAACAATATTTAATTTGCATATTGGTCTGTATTTATATGGTGCCAGGGAGGAGGTGACGAGTGGGATGTGCACCACTGAACTTGTTTCCAACGGTAACAACATGGTGACATTATGTACTATAGAGAGTATATGCAATTTTTTATCATTATAAACTTATTCAAAATGTATGTTGTTCTTCATGGTCTCTGAATGCACACTAATGGGTTTAGTCTGTACTTGCGTAGAGGTTTCCAGAATCTTCTAGAGCTTAAACATTGTTCGCTAGGACCGTCCCCTCAGTACACATGGTCCGCCCATCCTTGCAAGTGCCTCAGTTTCTTTTTGCTGCTGCTGAGTTTTCTTCTCTCCGACAAGTTCCATACGCTAGCGTATTCAATAGGGACTAATGTGAGATTTTTCCTGTTCTACCTCCCTTGCTGCCCCCTTCCCTAGTCCCCCCTTTATCCCCTTTTCTTGTTTTTTGCTAGTTTATGGCCTCCTCTGCACCGTTTAAACGGTGCACTTTATGTCCTAATAAAATCCCCTTTACTGACGGCCACAGCACTTGTCTCTTTTATTTATTTATTTAACTTACATGCCACCCACACTACCCAAAGGTCTCTTTTGTCTTGGTGAATCCCATCAGCCAGCCTCTTGCTCTATTTGCAAGAAATTTACTAAACAAGCTCTTAAACTGAGATAGCAGCATCTACAATCTTACTTGTAGGAAAGATCTTTTTGCCCTACTTCGGCTGTGGAGCCCACACAGCCGCCTCCAGATGTTTACATCTGAATTATTAAGGCCATTCATCACAGTTTAAGATCTAAACCTGCACTGGCTGGAATCTTATTGGTGTAACTGGTGTTACATAAGGCTGTTGAAGTCATCAGCAGTGACAATTTTTGGAAAGTAAATACAACTGAGTTCTCTCCTGAAGTCTCTGAGGCTCCTATGGAATTTATTTCATTGTGGGGGAACTCTAGGAGCCACAGGATAGGAAGGGGGAGTCTTTAATTACCAAAAAATTCCGCTATATTTTTCTGCCAGTGGTAGCGATTAAAGACTTCTTCCTCTTATCTCATGGCTTCATAAATGTGGAAGGTATTCTGCAGAAGACCTGGAATTTCTAGGAAATAAATTAGAACTGGAATAACATATTGGGATGTTAGGTAGAATCTCTACCTATTGATTAGCCATACTGGGTGGAGTTTCTAGGATCTGAGAAAAGATGCCACATTTGCAAATCACTGACCTAGAACATACAGATTTGAATTTTTATGTAAAGGAATTTGAAGTACTGTAGTTCTCCTCCTGTAGACTCACAGCACACTGGAAGATCTGTAAAGATTTTAGAGTATAACATCTCGAAAAGAGTTTTGAAAGTAGTTCTGAACAATTAGAATTAATCCATTAATGCTGTATTATACCTCCAAACACCGTTCACCAAGCAGTAGGATGCAGGAGTAGCAGAGTTTTCCAAACTTTGTTCAGTGCTTAATTACTGTACATATTGTATATTGTGTTAATCAAACTAGAAAACCATGATTCTGTGCATAACAGTGGCTATGCCCGTACTGATTTGGGGGAACACCTTTGTGTCGTACAACCTAAAGCTGGCAAAAAACCCTGTTCTGCACACCTGTTGCTTCCAGAGGAACTGTCACAAAGTGTAAGACTGATCTTTAAATGAGAATGTGATCCAACGTAAAACTAACAGGCCATTCACTACACGGTCAAGATTGACTCCACAGGCTACTTGCCTGTGGCTAATAAAAATTATTCCCAAGTGGACAAGCAGGGAGATGTGGTGTGTGTGTGTGTGTTTTCTTTTAGGATGCTAATGTTCCAGATTTTTTTTATATATTGGTCTACAGTGGACACTCTTGTGGGCTAACCTAACCAGCACAAAATAAGCATGTCTTCAAGGTGCTGCAGGACAATTACCTTTCGTGTCACTTACCTTTCGTGTCACTTCAAGTTAATACTAGGATTTTTGGGAATTATACAAAGGAGATATCTTAGTAAGCCTGCACTGTCTTTCGTAATGCTCTGAATTTACTTGCCAAATTTGGTTTAGTGAAGTTGTTTTATGTAACTGTTTAACACACAGAGAAAACCATGAGGCAAGTGCAAATTTTGCGTTGTATTTTTAACCTACTTGTAGAAGGCTGTTGACATGGTTCAGTTGCAAACTGGAGTCTATTCTTGAAATAGCTTTTAGTCTCACATTCTTGGGAGAGATGAGATTTTATTCATACATGTTTCTACTTATAGGTGAGGAATCTGAAACTGGAGCATGAGCAAGAGAAAAACAAGATCTTATCTGAAGCTCTAGAAACACTAGCCACTGAACATCATGAATTAGAGCAGTCACTAGTCAAAGGGTCATCACCTTTGAGCATCCTTAGCGAGGAACAGTTCTATGATGCCGTTTCAGGTAAGTGTATGGCACAGAAAACTGAATCCATGTCAAAATGTGAATGATTTCGATTAATTCCCAGGATCATATTGCATATATATTTAATATAACATGTTCCAGCATGCCAGAGTAAGAGACCATCTTGTCCCTGATGAGCTTGCAATAAAACATTTTTGTCTGGGACAGAGAGAATATGTCAAAGTGCAAAACAATGAAGCAATGTGTGTGAGCAACCATAGCTAGTGCACTGGCCTATCCACTCCATTAGGAGTACGTATGTAAACACTGTATGCAGCAGATCTTAATTCCTATCAGAGCCACTCCTGGGCTCACTGCCATCTGTTGCTCTCTGTTCCATTTTATTAAGTGCAGACAAGGACATTAATAATAATTTTAAAAGAGTATAATTCAAAGGCTGAGATGTGGTTGAAACAACCACAAGGGCTGTATGAACCTGATTTCCCACATTTGGTTTATAAAAACTTAACATACCACATACAGATTATTACATTGTATTATTGAAGTGTTTTTGTTTGTCTTACATTGAACTGGAGTAATGTAACTGGTGAAAGAAGAAAGCCGCTGAAATTGACCTGGGTGCACAAATAACGCTGCTGCTGCTGCTGAAACGGTGCAGCTGGCTCCAATGTCAAAGTCACCTTAGAATAGTTTTACTAATAGTTGTATAACATCTTTGCACTAAGAAACAGGAGCCAGGTATATTGATTTGATTCCATGGAAGAAGGGATAACGATGGGAGGAGAGGTCTGAGATCCTCATGCAAATTTGTTAAGCAGAAAGAATGGGGCTGAAGAGCTTTCCTCAGAATAATAAAAGAAAGATGTAGATCCCATGTGTCATAAAGTTACGAAATTCATTGCTAGGACCACATATGAAGAAGTGGTGTAGAGCAGTAGTCCCCAATCTTGGGTCCCCAGATGTTCTTGGACTTCAACTCCCAGAAATCCTGGCCAGCAGAGGTGGTGGTGAAGGCTTCTGGGAGTTGTAGTCCAGGAACATCTGGAAGCCCCAGGTTGGGGACCACTGGTGTAGAGAATAAATCAAATGGTTTGAAAAGCTGGCTTGGTACTTCTAGGCTGTTGGCACTTCCTTCTAGGCAGTGTTATGAAGATGGATGTGATCTACCTGGTAGCTTCCTGCCTGGTTTGTGATTTCCTTTCTCGTTATGCAAATGTCATTTTAAAAGAACTGCTACCTCTGTTTGCATAAAGCAAAAAGCGGCATAACTGATTCTGTTGTTTACATGCATTATGTCACTGGTGAGCAAACCTCAGACCTCTCTACTTCATTACTTAGAACCTTAAGGCAGACCAACCGGAGCCTGGTACAAAAGGCATAGAAGTACAGAGTAGGGTGCCTATGAGCACATTGTAAGCCTAGGAATTTGCTTTCAGTGCCAAAACTGCTGCACATTAGTCCAGCCGTGGTTTTCTGAAGCTTTTTGCCATTTCATCAACATATATTAAATGGGAAAAAGTTAACTTTGCTGTTCCTACTATTAAACAATTGAGAGATAGAAATCACCTGACCATTACTTTACACCACATAAAATTCTAATTGTAAAGTTCTAAATTCTAGAAGCCACTGTAATGAAAAACATGGTCCTCCAGCATGTTGGTTCTCTTAAGATGGTTCTCTTAAGATGTATACAGATATTGTTTAGATGTCTAAGACAGAGGTCGTCAATCCCCAGTCTGCGGCCTGATGCCGGTCCATGACCCGAGCCAGATCAGGTTGCAGAGACAGACCTACCTCCCCCCGCCTGAACTCCCCTCCCCACAGCTGCTTTGAGCACACACATGTGCCAGCATCGGCGTGAGTGGGCATGCACGAGGGCGTGCAGGCATTCCTGCGCATGCGCGAAGGGGTGGGGGAGCACTCATACCAGCCACATGTGCCAGCATCGGCGTGAGTGGGCGTGCACAAGGGCATGCAGGCATTCCTGCGCATGCGCGAAGGGGTGGGGGAGCACTCATACCGGTACTAGCACATGCACGCATGCTCCCCCACCACTTTGCGCATGTGCCCGAGAGCACGCAGGGGAGTGCCCCGCCTTCCTCAGAGGCTTAGCCAGTCTGCGGTCCCAAAAGGGTTGGGGAACCACTGATCTAAGATATATTGTGTACACTTGTACCCTGAGATTGTATCCAGATTTACTCTAGGAAACTGTATGTATCATACTCTTTACACCTCAATTGTAGCTGGATTCTCAGGTCCTTCGTGCTACTTTTAGTTGAAAGGTAGAGTTTATTGCATTTCTTAGTAAATCTTAGAGTACTGTATTACCCATGATAGTCTAGAACTGAAGTGCTGTTGTTCATGTTAAAACTGCTTGTGATGAAGTAAAATAGTGGCTGATGATTGGTGTAGTTCCCCTTTTACAAATGGGATCTAGAATTGTGATGGTGAAACAGCCTTGGTCAGTTAAACCAAGCCATTAAAAAAAACAGTTTTATGAGAAAGAACGATTTTAGGATGCTTAACAAAGTGAAACTTTGTAATGAGCCTTGTGAACTATAGTTCTCTTTAATTAATGTAACTACATTTGGAGGTTAAGTGGAACTTTTCAGATCTCTTCTTTTACAGACCTCTAAATTGCACACATTAACTTGCCTTCTGTGTCGTTCAATTACAGTTCCTTTATCTGTATTAATTAAGTTTGTAAAAAACAAAAGGAAGTTTCCATCAGCTTGGTATACTTGTCAAGAGAACAGGGTACTGCACCTAGAAGATCTCTTCTGTTGCCTCAAAATGTTTTTCTGTGCTGCAGGATTAACTTGGTACATTTTGATTTTTGCCCAGTAGACTAACATATTCTGATACCAGCTGACTACAATCATTTACCTGCTTAGTTTGATTCTGGGTTTGTTTTGTAACACAAGCTGAATATATCCTGAGCAAGGCCTCAGTGTTTTCCCCTCCCACTTTCTTCTGTACTGGATAGAAAGGTGGAGGTTGAATTGTATTTCCCAAAGACCGTTAAGGATTTTATCAAACATTCCTACAGGGAAAGAAGGTAGGGGGAATCTCAGATCCTGAATGCTAGAGCAGTATGACAGTGGAGCCAATTACCTCACGAGATGGTTCTTAAAAAGTATAGGGGTGGGAAACACTGAATGTCAGTGCATGAGAGCAGTGCCCCTAATTTTACTGTTCATATTCTAATGATCTTGAATGCTGGGTGATAGAGTAAGACAGTTAAGGTTAGGATGTGAGTCCCACTTAATCCTGTGATCTCCTGGGATTTTCTGTAATCACGTGGCAAGAAAAGGTGAAACAAAGTAGGGTCTGGAAGACACCCAGTAGGGCATATCTTAACCAATAGGAATTTTTTTCCACTTGGAGAGGTGATTACTTACCACTGATATATATATATATAACATATTTATATAGCAGTGATAATGGGTTTCTACTTTTTATGCCTTCTTTGGTGTGGAAAAAATGCCCTTAATCATTTGATTTGGCTTGTTCTTGAATATATTTGCTTTTCTATGTTTGACTCTTTTTTTGTACTTCTATTGTTGGAGCAAAGTATCATTTAATCCAGTGGCTATCTGACTTGGAATAGTCAACTGGTAATGCAGGACTGGCTTGTTCAGTGAAATGCTGTGTTTATTAAGGTTGAAGACTATGTGAAAAAAAAAAAAAGAAAGACAGGGAGTTGGAGCAGCCTCTTCCTCAGACTACATGAGCAGCTCTTATTTTACAACCTAATCCCAGGCAGGTTTTTAATCTTGTCTAAAATGAAACCTGGTTAGTATCAACAACAGCTCGCAGTGTCTGTTTTTGCTGTAGTTGCTTTATCTACAGAATCTAGTATTTAAGTACAGGTGAAATGTTCTGCTGATACTTCATACGTGTCTATCCCTGCTCACTTTCACCATCAATTTATGCTCCTTGGTGCTGAACAATTTGCTCACCCATGTTCTGCCAGAGACTCAGCCTCCACTAGTGCTAAATTCTCACTGGACAAATGCTGTCATCAGTACAGCAGAGAGAGGCTACTTAAGTTTCAGTACTCTCCACAAGGGAGGTGTCCATTAGTCTGTGAAAGACTAGCTTAAAGTTGGCTTCATTGCAATTCACCTGTGTTACAGATTCAGAATCTGAAAGATCACTGAGTGGCTTTGAAACTGTGGCAACATATTCATTAGAAGATAGCATGGATTCTGGTGATACTATAACATCTGATGTGTCTGAAGAAAAACCCTGCAAAAGCGGAGAAAGGCTATCCAATGGCATCAAAAAACACAGGTAGGATTTTGAGTAACACCTAGAGAGACTTTGTGCTTTCTTCTCTGTGCTGGACAAAGTGTGGTTGGTGTCTGCAGAAGATAATTGGAAATACTTTTGCCTTTTCCTTTCAACCATGATGAATCAAGAGTCTTTTAGGGTGAACGTCTTGATTAATTTTGGCACAGGGGGATATTAAGTGGAGGGGGGGACATTGTGACTGCACCATGATGCAAGCTAATCACATGAATTCTTAACAGTGCATGTTTCTAACTCATTTAAATGTGTCCTGTTGAAATCAATACTGGTCTTCTCTTCATGTTTTTTTAATGTCTGTCCCTTTTGGCTTTTTTAGTTTCCAGTTACATGATCTCCTAAACATTGTCTGAATTAGCTCTGTTCTATAAGTCAGAGATTTCAATATATATAGATATTTTAAATAAGAGCACTGAAAGTAAAAAGGTCATACTGTTTAAGCATGTCACATATTTACTTCATCTGTTCCCAACACTTTATATGCAAAAGAGGACAATAGAACTGTGGTTACACGTAACAAATACCTTGTTTCTCAAGTTTCACTCTAAGGAGAAGGTAATATGATTAAATTTGTTTTTGCTTGCAATTCAAACAGGGCTCGAATCTAATCTATAACTGGCACTTATTCCTCTGAATGTAGTGACCTTTATCTTAATTACTGAAAATGAATTTATGCATTTAAATATGCTGCTCTTTCATGTGCCTGGCACATTTTCATGCACTCTGCTTATAGTCAAATGTGCAGATAGGATGTGTAAATGAATTGAAAGTATCTGTGCTTCAGTAATAATTATGGGAGGACTGGAAAAAATAATTATGAATTTCTAGGCACAATTGAATTTAAGTAAATTAACACTCAGGATTCCTTCTGCCTTATTTAATTACTTTCAAAACATAATTTTGTAGTCTTCCACATCCTGTCCCACATTAGAGAATGATATAGTGCTCTAATCCTGTTTGGTCTGCAGTCATCTTTCTTACTTGCAGAATATAGAGAAAAGAATAGTTAAAATCCTTTGTGACAATTTTTCTTACTGTAAAGAAGCAACGAAGAGCCCAAAATAGCTTTTTGTATAAGAAACAAACAGTAATTTTGGCAGATTTCCACAAGGTGTGTTGTAAAACTATATTGCAAAATTGTAAACAAGAGGTGACTAGAGACATCTAGCTCATATTTGTTCCCAAATCCCCTGGCATTTCTTTACTTTCCACTAAATATGTCTCTCATTAGTCTTTTTGATCACTAGATTTTTATACCACTTATCTAACTCCATGCACTTAATTGTCATGTACCTTTTTTCCCCTTATATTCAATGATGATAATTATTGGATACATTTTAGCTGTTTTTAATGGGTTTTAGGTAACATACTTAACCTATTGCAAGCAGGGATGTTTCTTGAGAAATAAAAACAAGACCATATACTTATTCTCAATTGGTTCTAATTTTTATGCAAATTATATTGCAGTAGTTGACCTGACACTTGGCATTACTTAGGGAACTGGTTTCTACAAATATATTGATGTAAATTATCAGACCCCCTGTGGGAAAACAAATAAAAATTTTACTTGAACCATATTTCCTCAGCATATAAAGCTGTTTATTGTTTCTTGTTGTCTTGCGATTCTTAGAGCTTTTGCTCATGTTGTCATTACACTACAGTTGCCATATAAATATGTATGAACACTGTTTTACTATTGTTTGTTTCAGTTCATTTTTTGTTTCACATTTATTATTTGTATCTGTGAGGTGGAGGAAATGTCTGTCTTTGTCTTTAACTGGTATCCCTCTAAAGAAAGTTGTAAATAAATACATCTCATGACACTTGAATTGCAGTTCTGTTTATATTGTATATTAAAGAATTATGTGAACAAAATTTGGGATTAGGAGTATTTTGAATGCAGTGTGTGATCTAGAAGAAGAAGAAGAATATAAGAGAGGAACAATTGATCTTGGGATGGAATCTTAGTTTCATAAGATATTTTCATTTTGAGTTCTTGTGTTTAGAACTTTGTCTTATGCTGTACACAATTCTAAAATAGTTGTAGAGAAAATAAGAAAGAACATGCCATATATGCTAAAAAAAATTGTCACTGGTCACCATATTTCTCATGAATAACCTGAGGGCGGATAGCAAAGTGACTAAGTTTATTGTCAATGTTAAATTATGCAGAGTGGTAAGAATAAAAATTAATTATTAAGAGCTGCAAAATAATCCCTCCAAACTGTAACAGTGGGCAAGAAAATGAGAAAGTCTAATGTAGTACATATTGTGGCAAAACAGATCCAATCCCACAAAACCAGCTTTACATACACATTCATAGGATGTGAGCCAGTGGTAGCTGACCAACAAGGGGATCTTACAGTTGTGGTAGGCAGCTCATTGAAAATGTTGACTTAGTTGACAGCTGCTGTTAAAAGGCAAATTCCAGGTTGGGCATAATTAGAGAAGAAATTGAAAATTGCCATTCTCATCTTGCACAGGAGAAATTATGAAGGAATGGGAGCAACTCCTCTATGTTGAAAGGTTAAAATACTGTAGTTACAGTTGTTTATTTGAGGAAAAAGAGTAAGGAAAGACTTGGCGGAGGTATATAAAATTATGTGTAGTGTAAAAGAGTTCTATATGGAGATGGTTTTGTTCATTTCCCATAATGCTCGAATTTGGAATAATTCACTGTACTTATCTGATGAAAGATGCAGGACACAAAAATAATAGCTTTTTCAGACAGTGTGTAATTCAGTTGTAAAATTCACTGTTACAAGAGGAAGTGATGATTGCCAGTTTGTATGACTTGAAATAAAGTTTAGTTACGTTCATAGATCTTATGGCCTTGAAAAATAGCTGCTAGTCAATATCACTGCATATTTCTTCCAGAAGCAATGTAGGAATCCTCTGTATATTGTTTGCCAGAGAACAGAAAAGGGATGATATACAGTGGACCCTCGACTTACAGACGGCTCGACTTACAGACTTTTCGAGTTACAGACTTCTCTGGCTGCAAAATTTAGATTCGACTTGCAGCCAGAGAATCGATTTACAGACCAGAAAAAAACCAAAATGGAATAAAAATAGAATAAAAACCACTGGTTATGGGATTAATCGGTTTTCTGTGTATTGTAGGTCAATGGAGATTCGACTTATAGACTTTTCGACTTGCAGCCACCATTCCAATACGAATTAATTCCTTAAGTAGAGGGTCCACTGTACTTGTATTCACGTACTGTACTACTGATGGGCTTCCCCTAGGGCAAAGCAAAAACAAAGCATGCTGCTTGTATACCACCTCACAGCACTTGAAGCACTCTCTGGGTGGCTTACAAATTAATTATGTAGGCTACACTCCCCCCCCCCCGCGAGCTTGGGTACTCATTTTACTGACCTCGGAAGGATAGAAGGCTGAGTCAACCTTGAGCTGGCTACCTCGGATTGAACCCTGGGTAAGAAGCACAGTTTTGGCTGCAGTACAGCAGTTTAACCACTGCTCCATGAAGCAATAGATTGGCTGTTGTATGAACAGATCATCAGATCCAATATAGTATGTCTGATCTGATCTTCTTGTGTTCTTAAACCAGCAGAAGAAAGTGGCTGAAGGTTTAAAATGAGATCTTCATGGAATTTCAGAATTCTTTGGAAGTGTAATATCACCAAAAAAATAATAAATTTTGCCATATTATTTTGGAGTACTGAAATTCTATGGTAGGCAGGTAAAAGTAGTCACAGTTGCCAGTAATCCTGGGGAAAGCAGGAGTTTCCAATGGCAAAACATCTTACAGAAAGTATCTGCACATTGGTCTTCTACAGTGGTCTCTTTGGAAAATGACATCTAAAAAACCCTAAATGTATAAGGGAGAAAAAGCACCTGTACTTTGAGCTTACAGTATCAGTGAGTAAGACATTCCATTGCTTACTTGTATGGCATTTAGTAACCATATTCCATCCCTGTACATTTAAGTGAACTTTGATAATAGATAATATTCCTGTTCTGCACCAGAACAATGTGTAGTTCTCTGTATGTGTGTGTGTTTGTGTTTGTGTTTTTGTGTGTACTTCTATACCACCTTATTAATGCCATGTACTACCCTGGGCAGTTGACAATGCACATAGTACAGTATGACAACAACAACAAGAGACAGAATAAACAAAATCAAATCAATAAACATAGAGGGGAAAGGAATAAATAAGTCAGCATCACCAGATGGATGGGCAAACACAATTTGGCAGCTGACATGAGAGGATGCCCTGAAAACCTGGTGCCACAATTAAGAAGACTCAACTTCTGGTGGAAGTTTTTTTGGTCTGCCTCAGTGTGGCAGTCTGTAGGAACATGGCTTGCAAGGATTTGGTGACACAGGTTGATGTGCTCCAACAGGTACCAAGGTCCCAAACAGTGGAGGGCTTTGTAAGTTAAAGCTGAAACCATGAACCTGACCCACTGTGTCACAGATAACCAGTGCAGGTGAACCAGATCTGGAGAGACGTGTGTCAAATTTACTCACATTTGACACCAGCCTGACAGATGCACTCTAGATCTGCTGTAGTTTCTGGGTTGGTCTCAAGGGATGCCCCATGTAGAGAACATTATAGTAGATGGATGATACTGGAGGTCACCAGTGCATGCACCAACGTTTTCAGGGCCCCCTTGCCCCCAAGTATGGGCAGACATGAGCAATCGGCCTCAGTTGGTTAAAGGCTGATCTGGACTTGGCTGCAACCTGGGAATCCCATGAGAAAGCTGGATCCAGGAATACATGCAGGTTCTGAACTCGGTCTCTTAAGAGGAAGCATTACTCCATCCAGTCTAGGGAAATGGTCCCCTAACCTGTCAGAAGAGCTCTCCAGAAGGAGGATCTCTGTCTTCTCTGAGTTCAGCTTCAGTTTGTTAGTCCTGGTTCATTCCAGGACCAAGACCAGGCAGCGTTCAAGCACCTGGATAGTATCCACTGCAAAAAAAATGTAAAGGAGAGATAGGGTTGTGTGTCATC